GATCTTGCAAGAACCGACCGCAACTTCCTTCCTAAGCTGCGTGTGACTTCTTCCTCTTCCCAAAGTTGAAAATTCAGCTAAAGGGAAGGAGATTTGAGACGATAGAAGAGATTCAGGCAGAATCGCAGATGGTGCTTGACAGGCTGACAAAGAAAGATTTCCAGGGATGCTTCCAGGCTTGGCAGCGGCGCTGGGATCGTTGTGTTTACTCCCAGGGGAACGACGTCGAGGGTGATGGATGAATTTAATACCTGAGATAAGTGTACGGGTTTTTATAGGCGCAGTCTAGAAACTTTCCGATCGCACCTTTTATATTTGCAAAAACTTTGGGACTTAAATTGGGTTAACAGCGAATACATGGATTCAAATGCCTGGTACTTTAAAGGTTAATTCAAGTAACACAAAAATCCATTTACGCAACTTCTTTGATTTAATTTTACGCATTTATTGGTTTCATCCATTTTGTGTTTTGATCCAAGAAGGATCTTTAGGTGGATTTACAAAAGTGATTCTGTTGACTGAGAGAACTGTGTGTTTATTAAAAGTACACTAGAATTAGCGAAATCATTTTAGAGGTTATTGTACAAACATTCTGTTGTGTATGAGTGGATTTTGAGTAACATTTTAGTATTTTTATGCTAAACCTTTATTATTTGTTAAATTTGATTAATGTTTCAAATTGTACTTATCTGTATGATTTGTAGTTTATTGTTCAGTCCACAACCTGCAGTCAATCTGGCTAAATTTTGGATTTAACCTGTTTAAATGTGTTTTAGCCTCACGATCATTGTTTAGTTTTAAAGACAAGTTGCGGTATAAGTTACTTTATCGAAAGGAAGTTACCACCACAAAGTGTCGAGAAAATATCTCATTTAGGAAATCACCGACAAATGCAGATTACTAGAAGAAATGTTTATTGCCCACTATGATGCTGAAACCACTTCTAACTGCATCTCCTGGTTTCTGGGCATACACTGCATCATTTACGATGCCCCACATTAAAGAATCACATGGGGTGAAGTCTGGTAACCTCGGTGGCCATTCGACCATTGCATGTAGGAAATGTTGCATTCAAAACACACAAACATCACATCCATAATGTGGTGGAGCACCAAACTATTGCCATAACAGGAGTTGAAAATGCATATCTTTTGTCATTTGAGAGGCAACATCGTGATCCACAACATCCACAAAATCTGCTGCTGTAACAGTACCGTCAAAAAATATATTGGGCTGCAGTAATGTGTAGACAAATAAGAGCCCAGGTCAAAACTCCTGGTACATTCAGTTCATGTTGCATCACGTGATGATTCTTATCATTCATTTAAGTGTCAGTTGAAGCGTGTGTTTATCTTAAAAGTGGCCGCTTCTGTCCAAACTTTGTTGTCAACAAAATTCAGATTACCTAATGAATTATTTGAATCCACTCGCAAAACTCAATCCTCCTATGAGGACCATCTTCATTTGGCGCTTGTAGCGACAGAGACTTGACAGGTTTCTGTATCAGTTCTTTTAAAATTCCCCTTAATACTTCATCTGACAAAGCACGTCCTTGACCTGTGTGCCTAGTTGATTTTGTAGGACTACACAAATTCTTGAGCAACAGTTTGCAACATTTTCTTCCAATGTCACTGATTTTGGCTTCTGACTTTACAGCATCAACATCACTTCCCTTTTCTCCTTGGAATTTTTATCTAGGTTGTGGATTTCTTGCCTGCTTGGTAGACGGACACTGGACAACTTTTCTGTGGAAGGTTAATTGCGATACACATCACGGCATAGCATATTTATGTTATTCTTAGTAAAGTTACTTATGCTCCTTCCTCTGTATTATGTACCAGTTCCTGTATTGTGCAATTTCTAACTTACGATCAATGCAGTACCCCAGAAGATGACCTGAATAGGTCAAAACTAGTCACATTGTAAAAGATTATTGAAAAAAATGTTGCATTTAGATTTTTATTTTTATTTTCCCCTGGAAGGCGGTGGGCAAAGTCTACACTAGTGCTGGTCCCTCTGTTTGGAGTACACTACACGGTGTTCCTGGGGATGAGCTACAGTATCGGCGTGCATCCAGGTGTTGAGATAGCCTGGCTGTTCTGTGACCAGCTGTTTGCTTCGTTCCAGGTCAGCACACACGCACATGACAAACTTTTATATGGGTCATCCTGATGACCCATAAATTGCACAGACTTAGTGCAGCCAAATATCAGATTCAACAACAGGAATGGGATAGCAGGGGACTAATGTTCAGATACTAATATTGTCAGTTACAAGAAGATTAAAGTTAAGTTTGTCCCACTATACGCCATGTAGGCGTTTGGGGTGAGAGGAGGTATAGATCCTCTCTTCCTTGACCTCGGCACTAGATGGGGGTGAGTGGTCAGCATCACGCCACGGCCGGCTTTACCCCCGGGAAAGGACCCCGGTACCAATTGCAGAGGAGGCTGGGTGGGCCCCAGAGCCGGTCTGGACGCAGAGGCTAGAGGAAAAATCCTCTGCCCCCGTCGGGGATCGAACCCCGGTCGTCCAGCCCGTAGCTAGTCACTATACTGACTGAGCTATCCCGGCCCATATACTAATATACTAATATTGTCAGTTACAAGAAGATTATGCTAACTGAAATAAAGTAAATATTTACAAATAGCAGCAAAGATGATTGGCTGCCAGCTGCTTCAGTACTGATGCTACTCAGATCTGACAAATTTTGCGCCTCGCATAGACTCATGACTTGCTACTTCCGTTTTGTACTTGTTAGTTGTAACTCAAACCTTGCCCCCCCCCCTGGTGACCTAATTATGAGAGTCTTCTACACTTATTTCTGCTAATTTGCATCATAAACAGTTATTTGATGTAATTTCTTGATTTCGTAATATTACTGTGTTGTGAGGCTCTACCTTATGATTCAGTAGACATCAAACTATATCAGAATCTTATGCTGTGCTCCATTCTGTAACGAGTTTGTCTGTTCCGTTGTCAGACAATTGTTGTTACCTTGTGGTTCTGGTACCTGACACACTCATCCATGCAGATCTGAGGAGTGCTCTCAACTGTTACGAATAGTGCCATAACAAGAGAGTGGAAATAGTGATGTTTATGTACTATCAGGAGCGTTCTAATGTGCTTTCCAGGGTTTCTTCGTTGCCATCCTGTACTGCTTCCTGAATGGTGAGGTCCAAGCTGAGCTTAAACGCCAGTGGTTACATTCCGGTAACTTGCGAGGTGTTTGCTGCAGGCCACTGCGGCCTGGACGCTGTTACTCCACCACTGACTGCTCATCCGTCAGCATGGGTCCTGCCAGCGCCAGTGGTAGGAAGCTGCGTCAGAGTGGCAAACGCCTCTCTACGTCCTTTGTAGGCATCAACCCCAATTCACGTGACACCAGTGCCCCTAATGTAAGTGATGAAGTTCAAGCTTGACGGCTGTCTTCTGGGCTGTTCCGCCATGTATTATAGTAGAAGTTTATCTGCATTTCAGGAGACAGCCATCTTCGTACTCATCGCCATGAAAACCTCAAATCCTGTTGAGTACAAGCTTGTTAATCAGTCATGTTGCCTGCGTGAGAAGTAGATGAATGTAATTCTGAATCTATCAGTGAACTTATTTTCCTCTCTTAAGAAAGTATTGATTTTGTCAGTAACAGAAATTGTGGGCTTAAACTTATAAAATCCGTGATAGGATCATCCTGTCTTGAAACTGTGACATTTCTCAACCAGAGACCACCAGATGTGTATATCTGTTGATGTAGCCCTATGCAATTTCTTTCATTTTAATAATTTACACATAATTTCATAAATGTTTCATTTTGTAACCAGACTATAAATCTGAAATGTAGGATTTCATCCTTTTTTTAGTAGAGGTTTCAAAAGATGAATGGTCATTTGTACCTGTAATTGAAATTAGAAGTTATGTTTCTATGCATGACATCTCTCCCTTGTCTAGGTATTAAAGCGATCATGTAACATAGTCTTTCTAAGTAAAATAACCTCCATGGAGCAGTGTCCTTGAAGCTCAGCTAGTCAATAAATCTCCTACCTTTCATAGAACCTGAAAGTTCATTACCATGATCACAAAAGCCTGCCAGTGGTGCCTATCCTAAGACAAGTAAATCCAATCAAAAACTAATTTCGCTGATATCCATTTCGACAGTCCGCGTCCTTCTCAACACACTTAGTACAGTGGTCCACAAGCTTGTCACAAGCCACACATGAAACAACTTTTCAGTTCTTGCTCACTGGCGAAATGGTGGCTTCTCGAAGTGTCTTTCCATGGCCCAAACAGGGGCAGTGCATCTCAAAAAGCGTTACCTTCATTACGATAGCGGTTCAATTGGCTTTCGCAGATTGTCGACCTGTTGCACTTTTTCTCTTCTACGAGTTGTTTTGTAACCCATTTTGCATAAAATTTATGAAACGGTCTTGAATTATTTCATGAGTATGACTGATGCGCCACTTCATCGATAGTCATCATTCAAATATCAAGAAACATGGCACTAACTCCAGTGTCTTCCTCTGTAGTGGGTGTGGAAGGGTGTCCAGATCGTACTTCATCGGTGACACTTGTGCGACCGTTTGTGAACATGGTTATTCCATTCGCACTCACTTCGCTGCAATGAAGCACTGTTTCCATATTGTGATGAAAGTCTGCGATGAATTTTTGCCCCCTGGTACAGCTTAAACTCGCAGGAATGTTATCACTGCATGCTCCTCTCCTTTGGTGCATAGCGAACGCACAGCGGCCATCTTAACTCTACTACAACGACACGACAACTGGCCGGTCAAGGTCGGAACTATTTCACATTAAAGTAGTGTGTTCGTGCTTCAACGTATGTGCAAAATAAGCAGGGCAGCCAACGCAGGAAGCTGTAAAATAAATCATTTCGGAAAGTTTCTGGCTTACCCTCGTACATTTACAGCAGATAAGATCTAGTACAGAAAATAAAGAAATTGAAATACAGGTACAGTTGAATGCGCTTAGTAAATTGCACAGACACCTTTAGGTTAGGTCTACTGTTCACCTTCAAAATTACTTGTTGATAATTTATAATTTCTGCTGTATGCTCATTTTATATGAATTATGGTTCCGTTCCTGAAATGTTTAATATGTTTTGATTTGTAGGCTTCCGAAGCAACAGCTGCCCTGGGATTCAATAGCAGGTGGTCACCATTAGAATGTAAGCTGCCTGAGTGCCACATTGAGATGGGAAACATCAACACCCATTAAAAATCAACGCACAGACTGATTGAATTCCACTGCCATGGCTTCAGTTGGCAAGTGAAATTGTTTCTTTTGTAGTAATATTTCGTGTTATATTTCAGGCTACTGAATTAGTCACAGATTTGTAGCGTGTCCCTTTCAGGTGTCTGCAGTGCAAAGTTTACTTACTTTTATTAGCTAAACCCGTTCCATGTGACTTGAAACTAATGTCGCCAGTTGGATCATGCAGTAAAGTGGTTAGTGTTTTTTAGTTGAATTCCAGGATAGAATTTCAGTCACACCTTTTTATTGAATTTCTCAGTCTCTTTCCATTGAATGTAATTTCCTCACTGTCCTTTCTTGTACCGAGTTCAAAATCCTAAGTCGGCACAAAATAAATTCTAAAGTTGATACAGTGTCATCAAATAAACTACAAAGTTAATTACACACATTTCTGAAAATACTCACATTATCAATAAGAAGTAGGTTACCACATATGAATATTGAATTTTCCAGTCCTCTTTCTGCTGGAGAGATTTCAATGTGTCCAAAGTTCGTCTTTTCTTATATAATTTTTTTTCCATATATTAACTGTGTACATAATTTGAAAAATAAAGTTCCAAGCCCACATGTTTCTTATCTTAATAAATATATGATGAAAACATGTAAAGATAAAATAATATTCCGTTCTTAAATTTAGAATGGGCAAATCATAAAAATTTAAGCTTTCAATTTCTGACTATTTCTTTGTTTGTGGACTCATGTGTCTATTGGAATAGCCATATATATAGTTCCATGTATTCGTTAAAGGATGGAAGAATGTTTATGTTCATGTTGCTAAAGAGTGTTATGCCGTGTTGGCTGGAGAGGAAAGAATTCAAGTTTCTGTCATTAATGTGGTATTGAATTCTTCATTGAACATTGAACATTGAAAGCTCTTCTATGATCAAATGTAAGAATTGTTTAGTCAGTGTTTATGTTATGTGGATTTGATTCTCAGTTTCCTGACAAGTATTTTGTGTGAAGATTTCCGTCTTCTGGGTTGTTGCGCTGTGTAGTATGACCTCTGAAACGTTGGTTAACATCGACCAGACTACACGCCGCAACAACCCAGAAGACGGAAATCTTCATACTCACCGCTGTGAAAACCTGAAATCCTACAAGTATTTTGCAGTTTTTCTCAGGTCCTGTAAATGTTTGGTGAGCCCCTTAAAACCAGTCCCTTCCGCATCCTTCTGAGTATCCTTATATTTAAGTGTGAAATTTAGTGCTCATCATTAAAGAAAAAGATACTTGATATAGTGAATTAAAAATAAAAAACCCAGCAGAATTTTTCAAAAAGCTTCATGATGGAGTGTGAAGTGTTGGGTGCAGTTTAATAATTATAACTTGCAAGCATGAACAGGTTTTTTTTGTGGCTCTCGATTTCACGAAGGCTGTTAAGAATTCATCTCCAAGTCAGGGGAAATCTAATATATTTATCGTTGCGACAATGAAGAGAAAGTCAGTAGTCAAGGAGTTAAAAAGCGGGAACAACAGGGCCTTTCAATCTTAGTATGATCTTGTGGGTTACGAGTCTAAGGAAAGTCTTTCTAGCTGCAGATGTTATACATAACATGCATTAAAGTCACTCCATGATTTAAGAACAATATTTTTTTTTAAAAAAAAATTTAATCCATGTCCGAAAATGGGAATTGTTGTCATCATGTTACATTGTCAAACATCTGTGATGATTAAACTCGCAATTTTTTTTTTTTTGTAAATATTAACGTTCTCTTGACAAAGTTCAAATACAAAGATGTGAGTTTATAGAAACCATTCTGTGGGCATGAAAGACCTGTTTATCTCATAATAGTGTATGAACCAAACATATATCAGTGTTGCTAGTAATTTTATTGTGAAACGCAATTTAATATTCATAAATCAGAAACAAGGTTTTGTAAATAAATTTATCTGTTATACTTATATTGTGCTGATTTTTTTTTTTAGTCTCTTAGGGAAATGTACATACACTGGTTTTTTTGTCAGCATATATTATGTGTGTAGGAGCTGGGATAGCTCAGTCAGTATAGTGACTAGCTATGGGCTGGATGACTGGGGTTCAATCCCTGATGATGGCAGAGGGTTTTTACTCTGCGTCCAGACCGGCTCTAGAGCCCACCCAGCCTCCTATCCGCTGGGTGCCGGGGTCAAGAATGAGTAGGAGCAATACCTCCTCTCCCCCCAAGCGCCTACATGGCGTTTAGTGGGACAAAATTTACTTTATGTGTGTACTATCCTGTAAGTGTAATAATTTTGATGGAAGTCCATACTTTGCTGGTTTAATCCATTTGTCTGGATATTTGTGATCGCGGGAATAAAAGTATAATTTTAAGAAATGTGTGTTATATAAATATATCTTATTTGTAAGTAGATCATGTGTCTTTTTCCTATATTCATTCAGTCCATATCATGCAACTGCAACTATAAATATATATATATATGTACACAGTTATTCACTGGGCGTATGCTATCATGAATTGGCAATTTTATATTTCATACATTTGAAATTCTGTTAATGTCATCTTTTCTCACTATAGGAAAATAACGGTTTTCCTTATACATATCAAAGGCGCACAGTACACACTTATACCTGTGTGTACATAGTCTCCAAACTGTGACCTGTATTCAAACAAAAGTTCTTTTGTATGTTACTTATTCAAAGTATATGAAAAATAATTTCATTAGTAAGTTATTTGTAATTCTAAGACAAAGGATTCTCACTTATAATTGGAAATTAACAAAGTTATAAGGCTACAGAAGTTCAAAGTTTGAAATTGTAATCTTTCAAATTTTTTTAGTCTTGTGCGCTTTCTGGACAATTTCCAGCATTTGTTGGTTTTATGAAAATTTTGAAAAATATTTCTTTTTAAATTCTCCAGAACCGTCAAGACACCAGCTGAGACGGACTGAGTCCGGCAGGGACCGGGTGTGGCAGAGACCAAGCCTGACATGACATCCTGCA